TATTTTGTTGTAATTCAAAAACGTATAACTGTAGATACACGAAAATTTCACTGAATGTTTAAATTAGCATTTTCTATACACCATACAATTTTGAAAATATTTTGACTCTTTTTGAGCTGTTTATGGACATTTACAGCTTTCAATTTTTTTTAGTTTTTTTTTCTATAAATATCAATAAAGTTTTATCTGTTGGGCCAAAAAGTGTAAAATTTAATACAAGGCTCCTGATATATTATTACAATAGCAGTTGAAAAATATTAAAAATATATAGGCACAGTTTTTTTTTATAAGCATTTAAAGATCAAATTTTGACAAAATTTACCAAATTTAAAATTTAATAATTATTATGTAATTAAAAATGTTTAAAATGTTCAACGTTTATAGCTAAGGATTGAAAATTAAAAACAAGGTTCCACGTAAATAGGTTATTACCTATTTTATTTAAATTACTTTAAAAAAATAAAATAATAAAGGTAAATAATATAGGTACTTAGTTATATATATCATATTATGCTGTCTGACCGTCTACGCTCTTCGTTCAGAATCGTTTTTCTTATACAATAATATTTTATCATTGAATTCAAATTTAACACAATACATTACAGTGGCCAATATGTAACCTACTGTACAGCAGAATGACACCCACTTGCCCACCTTTTTTTTTTTTTTTTGCTGAATAAAAACTTATTAGGAACCTAAGTTATCAAAGTTTCAATGTTGCAAGCAAAAATGTTATCAATTATCATACATAAATCGAAAAAGAAAAATTAAGAATGGCAAATATTGTGAAAATTATGTTGTGTCTAGTAAATTCTAATATGAATATTATTTTGGTGAAAATTTTAATTTTACAACAGTTCTTTATTATTTTTATGTTTGAACTACGCAATAATAGAAATAAATCAATTAGATTAAAAATTGTGTTTGAGTTGAAATATCTGGTTTTCTCAATTGTTTTATACTGTAATAATTGGATGCTAACTTAAGTGCGACCACAAACACCGTGACACTACATTTTTATATATTAGAATTAGATTGCCATTATAGTAATTTATTTTTGTATTAGTAGTAATATGGTAGGTACCTAAATGGTAAAGCCCTTTTTTACCAAAAAAATAGCATAATTTATGTTATTATTATATAATAATTTCTATAATATTATTTCGTATAATATTTAATAGCTGTTGACTGCTGCCTTGTACTTATAAGATGTCAATACTGACAAACAATGTGAATAAAATTCGATTCATGGTATACCTATACTAAATATTACTTTAAATTATTCTAAATACACTAGGAAAATGTCATCATAAAATAACGATGCACGTAAAAATAGGTAGGTAATAAAAAAAGTTTCAGGCCCCTATGAAAAATATTGTTTGAATAATAACAATATAACTTTACATTATTATTCGTACATATACCCATATTGAACTTTAAATAATTACCATAAACAAATTGTGCATAGGTATTTACTATGTTTTCTTAATGTTTTTTGGTTTCTGAAAGGACAATAATTATTTATGAGGAGCTTTTTATAATGGTTCATTTTATTATTTGATATTGAATTGGCATACATCCATTGCACCCATGTATGCTAGACGATACTGCGTGTCTGCGTCTCTATATTATATACCTATGTTATTATTACATTATATTCAAAATCAACGAAAAATGTTTAGATATTGAATATTTTTTAATGAAGTTCAAATTATGAGCGTAAATAGTTTGTCTTAGGATGAACATAGAGCTATAGAATTATTATTTCTGATACAGATACTATTGGTGAAATTACATTTTCTTATGACAAAATTATAAACGAAACAGTTATTTTTAAATGGCTGTGTTAATTGATCAACTAAATAAGACTGCAAATGTGGCAAACATATTGAAATTGACTTAAACATATTAATTTGTATGCTGTAGCCGTATTTCCAACTTCCAAGGTAAAAGGTATTAAAAAGAGTCAGAAATTATTATTTACTGTCGTCATTAACCAACGAAAAATCATCAACTCGATAAATATTATGTATTGAAGATGAAGTTATAGATTGGGCAATTTTAGATAAATACTACATTTTCAAAACTTCTTATAATAATTAGTACCTATAGGTACTTGAAAAAAACAACTGTGTAAGTTATGGATCTTATAAATCCTAATCATCATTATTATTATTATATATTCAATTTAATATTCTTGTAATAGGACTTAGCACTAGTTAGCAGTATAATATTGTGTTTCTAATTTCTATACATTGTTGTCATAAATTATTTTTAGTTAATTTTGACATACCTAACTTATTTAACCAAATTGTTTATTTATTTATTGTTACTTTTAAATAATTGTGAGGTTTATTTAGGAAGTATTATATTGAAAATATAAAAGTCATTAAAAAAATTATGAATATTTCTACAGTTAAAAAGAAAATGATTTCTTAAACATTTTGAAGAAAATGTATTTGTTTATCGATAATATAATATACAATTATTACATGAATAATGTATTCGCAGGTATAATGGGTGGTTTTGGTACCAGTTTAACGAAGATTTAAATGTATGTAAAAGAAATGTGACCAAAATAAAGTTTCATTATTTCGAAAATGAGTGACAGACTAAACTAAAATGAAAGCGAAAAAAAATCACGTAGTACTATAACGGCAAGCGATTTGATTAATATGAGTCATAGCCACAAATAGGGTTTGAGTTTTTGGAGGGTTGAAGCCCTCCTATATAACAATAATCAATATTGGATAAGCTTAAAAAGACCCTTCCCGTTGGTTACGCCCCTACGAAAGACACTACCGCGGCAAGTCGGTCGTTGACACTGATTTATATACTGGATACGCAACGATGCATCTTATCAATACTGTTTTTAGAGTTCTGTACGGAGTAAAACGAGACTCACAGAATTGAACAGTGTTGCTAACATGTTTATAGAGGATGGCACAGAACCCCGGTTTTTTTACGAGCGCTTCCCCGCAGTAAGGCATTTGGCTGGCTTATCAAATAATAACGTTAACATAGAATTAAAAAATATATAAATATATGTAAAATCCAGAATTTTCTAATTTTGATACATAGAAATGTATTATTTGTAATAGTTTGTATTGTATAATTTTTAGTTTCTTTAAGCCCCGTTCACACGATCAAATAGTTTGTCAAATATTTGATGTATGTCAAACTTCAAATATTTTAGAAATGGTCTAAAATATTTGGAGTTTGACGAATGTCAAATATTTGTCAAATTATTTGATCGTGTTAACAGGGCTTTAGACCAGCGGTTCTCAAACTTTTTAAATTTGCGTACCACCAGCTACACCGTTTCCCAGTTACAAAAATTTCCGGAAACTCACTGTTCTCACAAGTTAGGGCATATCAATGTTGCAGCGATTACGCGTGTATCGGCACTCGTCGCTACGCTCCTCGGCGCCGTCGCTCCGCTCCGCAAATCGAAAATATCCCCCTATTTGCTGTGTGAACTACCTCAGGTAAACCTCGGTTTTCCTCAATATTGTTTCTAAGTATATTTATTCCCAGCGTGGTCACTCGCTCGTCCATTCAAAAGTACCTATATTTTTTAATATTGACAACTTTGAATTGCCATAACTTTTGAAGTTTCCGGAAATTTTTTCAAATACTTGAATTAAGCGTAAAAAACCAATTTTATTATAATTATTATTTATGGATAGGATCAGAAAAAATTTAACTGTTGTCGCAGTTTAACTCTATGATAACGTTATTATATTATGATAAGCCAGCCAAATGCCTTACTGCGGGGAAGCGCTCGTGTTTTTTTGAGTCCGCTCTCTTCTCACGTCGCGGCAGACTACTAGATCTTTATACGATCGTTCTGTGATAACCAGGAGAATAAGGAACTAATAGTTCATTATTCTCCCTGTTAACACAAAAGGCGCGGATCCAAGGGGGGGGGGGGGGCAAGGGGCTATGCCCCCCCCCGTAGACTGGTGGATTTTCTATTATATCTATTTTCGGCAGCCGATAAAATGTATTGTTTTGCCGATAGCATTTCGGCCGTGTCCGTTTTTAAAGCGTCAAAAAGCCGTCAATTAGCCGTCAAAAAGCTAATCTAATCTAATCGAATATTTAAACTTGTTTGATGCAATAAAATGTCTGGATGTTTGTAGTACCTATCTATTTTATTATTGACGATATTTATTGTGTAGTGATAATTTGTTAGTTGACATATAGGTACGATACAATACGCACATAGCCCCTGTAACTGTCGATAATCAACATCAAACGTGACACGTGTATAGTTGCATTATTATTTTATTAAAATGTCAAAGTGTAGTGCCGATTTTATGCAAAATTTTCTTAAAAAAAAAAATGTGTAATTGAAGACAATGAAATGGTAGACGACCCAGCTCCCATTTTTATCAGACTTAGGCAGAAATTTTATTTAAGATGCCCCCCCCCCCCCCCCCCCCGTAAATATGTTCTAGATCCGCGCCTGAAACACAACAATTTTATAAAGCGCAAGTAGTCCTGCTCACACCTTTGGCTTCACCATAAACTAAGATAATATGGACGGGTGGCGACATGATGGGCGGGTGGTAGTGGTAAGGTCAAGTTTTAAAACGTAGTTTCCGTAGAGAGGGAAATCTTGCAATCGAAGCGATCGTAGTGTTATTTTCATGAACTACCAAGTATCAACTATTCAATACTGTGTTCCGTTCGTTTTTCGTTTGCTGGTCGGCCGTCGGCGAATTATCTTAGTTCATGGTGTCAATGCTTTCAAATAGATAGCGTTTCAGTCGCTAAATTTCCCCCGCTACAGAAATACCGTTGAATAACTTGACCGAAAATATTAACACCGTCACCAGTCCATATTATCTTAGTTCATGGCTTCACTTATCACTGGTTCGTTGCGTATCCAGTATATTAATCCGTGGTCGCAGAATCCGTCCTGATCAGTGGTACCATTCTGACCGGACCATCAAAACCATAGATAATATAAGCAATATAATTTGAATACGTCAATGATCAAAAATAGTAAAGCCAACCTCCCGGAAGGAAACGACGTTTCTCCCTCGTACGGCAGAGAAGTACGAGGTTTTTCTCTCCGATATGTTTACAGTTTACTTCAAGTTCTGTTGCACCGCACGCACTGCAATAGTAGCTGTTATTGTTCTACCCAAAGCTCGAAAGCGTTTTCCGCCTGTCGTCCAGACGAAGATAATTCCACCGTCCTCCCACAGTGTTTCCTACGACATCCGACTGGTTCATCGATTTATTCTCATCGACATCACTGAAGCTCAGCCGATTTAGTTGAGAGACCGACATTGGAACGAACGTGGTTTGCTGTAACACTCGTCTAGTACCCTAACCTCAACGCCGGTCACGCGAAACACTCGAAACAGTTTTTCTCCAGTTCAAAATTGTCAATTGATGCGATAACCGTCTACAAGCATGGGTTCTCATTTTTACCCGTCCCAACAGCCAAATCTGTGGGAAGAATTTAAAGTAGCCGTACAATTTGCGAAACAACTTTCCGACGTTTATAATTCTTCCGTCTTGGACCTCAAACCGGAATCTACAGAAATGTTGATGGCCTTTAGGAGATCAAGTAATACATTTATTACTATTGTATATTATTGTATATTATGATGATTAGTAACAGAAATCGCGGTGTTCTCATAGCCGGGGACGTATGTTGTATAATTTGTTATATTTGTCCAGTGCGCTATAGTATTACTAAGGCTCTACATATAATGGCTATGCTATGCCACCATTTTGCGACTCATTTATCAATGTTAAAATCATAAAATAAAGGGGGGGGGGGGAAATTAATTATTCACATAACATTATTAGTCTCAAAATGGCGGCGTTGCATACCTAGTATCTATAATAGTGACCTAGTATTACTAGTAGATATTAGATACCAATGATTAAATAGGTACCCAAAAAATATTTTCTTGCTGTTCTCGAATTAAACTTTTATATAAATTATTTTGAACATACACAATTTGAATAGTAATTATTTTAAAAATAAAATTCCTCTGTTCTCTGTTCCCTTCGCTCGCCAACCAACCTACAATTTCTTTCTTTTTTTTTTTGTAAGTTGTGAGTATAAAAATAATATAAAAATCTAAATTAAAAAAAATTCGAACACATACACTATCAACATCTCTATTATACCAAACGTTTTCCAAAAATAGTTTTTTCAAGAATACTCTCAAAATTTAAAATTTAAGAAAGTTGTTTTCAAGGAAACTTCATGACTAATTAAATATTTTTTTCAGACATTATCGGATAACTAAGATAGTTAAATACAATTGGTAAAAGATTTTAGACAGAAAGAAGACTTTTAGACAAGAAACTAATATTCATGTAGGTTATTTACATGTATTATTGTGTATTATTATGTATTATTTACATGTACACGTGTGAGCGCTCGGCTGAGGGACAATTGCAAACACTATGGTCTTTGAACACATTACACACTATTGATAACTTAGTAGAAATTTGTTAGACTAAACTGGAGTGAAAAATAATACACCGGGATGTTTGGATCTTATATATATCTTGTGGCCAAATATCTAATCATATAGATAAATATAAAAATTGTGTATTATACTTTGGCTATACATTATACTGTAGTATATACGTAGACTACTAAAAGTAGTATTACGGATTAACAATAAATAATATATATTACCCTGCTAATTAATAAACAACACAGTCAAATGTGTCAGCTTTACTAATGTAAAAATTTTAAATATTTCATCTAGGTCCCATCTACCTTCTTCAACAATTAAGTTTATCTGAAATTTTAGTTGATTTATTTTTTCAACTTGTGATGGATTTTTCATAGCTGCTTTTTTTAAATCCGTTATTGTTAATGCAGGAATATAATTGGAGTCTAAAGTAGCTACTAGGTATGTTTATTATATTTATTCAATTAGATAGTTAAATTTTAATCGTACCTTCTGATAATGTACAATTTCCGGATTTAGGTGGTTTGACTAACGGGTATACAGATAATAGTCTGAGCTGTAGAAATTTTGAAGTAGCAGGGTGGTCATTAGGTCCTGTTGTTTGTCTCACAATACCAAACAATTTCTGTAATAAATATCATTAAGACTTTTAATACACTAACTGGAAATGATTTGCCTACTTCAATCGCATCATGATTGAACTTAGAAGTTAAAACATACTGAAAATTGCATTTGTCAAGTAAATATGTAACTGAATCGATGCTAGATTTTAGGTCAATCTCAAAGAATCTGTTGTATTTCTAGTTAGAAATTCTTTTTCCAGTATTTTACCATCTATGAAATGTTGTTCCTAATTATCTAACCAAATAAGGCATTAGTTTTATACCTTTTTTAGAATAAAAATTGTAATTAGCTAATCAAGTTTATATAAATTATGCACACTAATATTAAACATTTATTTCTATAAAACAAACAAATAATCTACCAATATCTCTAAATAACCCAACCTATTAGATTTATTAAGATATTAAGTACTAAAAATTATAGATAAATAGTTAAATATAAAAACACAGACACATATAAAGAACAAATTCCATTAGCCAATACCACAAATTAAGATATCTTCATTTGTGGCCAATACACACACAACAGAAACCCAGAAATACATAAATAACCTCTAAATATTTGCTGTATTTTTAATGCTTTCAGCAGGGAATTTCCCTCGGAATTTCCTATTTAAAGCATCAAACATATTATTCAAGAATATTGTGAATTCTTCAGTTTCTAAAAAATCTTCGAGTCCTTTCAATTTCCGGTCACGGTAAAATCGGATACCAATGGCCATTACTAAATATCTATTCAAACATGAGTATTTTAAATTTATTTCAATAGACACAAATAATATTCTTTAGTAGATGACACATTACACTTAAACCAATGTTATACAATTAATATTTTTAAATTATTATTATTCATATTACTACATTAATCCCTAACAAACTATTACCTGTGTGGCATATTTCACCTTAATTTTTGATAGATTTTTTAGTTCAATATGGGCTTTAGTTATTTTTGGGCATATTTTCAGCATGGATTTTGAATCGTTACTAAAAACAGAACAGTAATAATCCCATTTGACATAATCCATCAATGGGTGAAGCTAAAACGTTCATGAAATATTTTTATACATGTATTTAATTAAAGTAGATAATATAGTTATAATTATTATAATTATAATTATGATTAAAAAGTTATAACTAAAATGTAAGTTAAATACCTTCAACTGTTTTTTTTAACTAAATGATTTCTTATATTCTTTATTACATGTGGAGCATCACTGAAAGCAAATATTTTTCTAAGATCGTCTAAAGGATTAACAAATTAGTTTTTTAACTCGGATTTGCTTCCATTTATTCCTAAATTTTTGAACATAGTTTTATTAGTTAAAGCACAATCACATGTTACACCTAAAACCTGTAGCCCAGCATCTTCCAGCAAAAGAATAGCCTTTATAAGTAATTGAGATAAATCAACACCTATAGTAAGTAAGACTTCTGCTGTTGACATAAATATTTTTTCTCAAATAAATTTCATCAATAAGCAAAATTCCCTTTTTTTGGCTCTGTGTATAACTTAAATATATTTTTTCCAGGAGCTTAAAAAATGATACCTCAAAACCACATCCATTTTTTACTGCTAGCAAATGTCTTCTAATTGTTTCAACACATGGTAATGGCAAAACTCCTTGTTCTTTCAAAAATTTTTTATCCTGAAGGAGACCTGTATAAAATTAAATAAATACAATATGAATTAATTTTTTTGTGATGAAAATAAGATTATATTAAAAAAATAACGTCAAACAATTAAAAATTGTGTCAAGTACATTTGTTATGACTTATGACCATATTAATTAATAATCATGTATTCAGTTAATATTTATATGGTATAAAAATAAAAATAATTTTTTGAACCTGATTGATTTCAACAACTTCTGAATCCGAGTGAATACTAGGTTCAACATTAAAACTACTTGAAGTATTGAGAGTGATGGGTGTATCAACATTTCCAGCATTGGCATTCAAAAGTAATTTTGGAACTGCTCCATATTTTAATCTTGGCTTTTTTAAGCATATCTATATATATTTTAGAACAAAAAACTTTGTAAACATCAGTGATATCATTTAGCATTATACTATGTATATTATGTTAGATATATTATGACAATGATTATAATCAAAAATTAAACTCACAACTTACCGAATACTGATTTGACCCTTCACCGAAATTCCAAGTATTATGAATATCATTTTTAGAAAAATAAGCTCCACGAATTCTTGATATTTTGGTTAAAGATGTTCCAATTGATTCTTGCCATTCATTGAAGGAACGTTGTGGGATGCTAAATCTAGATTTATCTAACACTGGACAGTTTAGTATTCAACATTTGTTCTCCCTTACCATGGTAAACGTATAAATGTATATAATATATGTTTAAAAATATTTAATACTTACAATAAAATAATGAGAAAATGCAAATTATTATCAACAATTTGTAATCACGTGTTATAAGAACAAACTACTTCTAATTGTTATCAAAAAACAGCATTATTTTATTTTAAACATCTTAAAAATATATTGCTATATTATATATTGCTATTTCAAAAACATTTATTTTACAATGATGAGTGTTTTTTTTCTATCTGCAGTAAACATTTTTGGTAATAGAAATAATGCTTCGATTTTCAACTTCATCATAATTTTATATTCCTAATGGAAGCGCAGGGAAAAACAAAATTAAAATTAAGGAAAAACTGGAATGTTTAGGCAAAATCAGTTTTTTACAAAAAAATAAGGCTCTTAATATATTGTTTAAAAGATAGATGACAAGTATTAAAAATCCATGATCACAATTTTATTTTACAAGCATTTAAAGTTCAAATATTAACAAAATACGTAAAATTCACAAAAATGTGCAAATTATTTTGAGTTAGAGAATAAAAAAAAATTTTCTTTTGTAAATCTATAATTTTAAATTGTAATATAAGATTCTTTATAAGGTTATCTACCATTATCAAGAAATAAATGTCTATAAGAATTTTTATGAGCGTTTGAAGTTTAAATTTTTACAGCATTGAATATTCACTCGATTTCTCATGTAGCGATTTTGTTATTTTGTGTATTTAAAAAACAAATAACTGTAAATACATGACAATTTCTCAGAATTTTTATATTTTCATTTTATATACACAATAACATTTTGACTCTTTTTGAGCTCTTTATGGACATAGTCAGTCTTAAATATTTTACATTTTTTTTTTCTATAATTGTCAATAAAATATTTGTTTGGTAAAAATGCGTGAAATGTAAAACAAAGATACTGATATATTGTTACAATAGTAGTTGAAAAATATTAAAAATACATAGGCATAATTTTTTTTATAGCATTAAAAGTTTGAATTTTGAAAAAATGTATTAAATTTAAAATTTAATAATTATTTTGTTGACATTTATAAAATGTTCAAATTTTATATATAAGCATTGAAAATTTAAAACAAGGTTCCACGTTAATAAATGTAGCTTGGGCGCATAGGCTCAACTAGAGTTTTACTAGAGCTTATATGTCTCAGAATCAATAAATTAATATTTTATTTCTGCCTATATTTAGGTAAATATTAAAAAATAAAATTGAATGAACATATATGAAGACAATTTGGTTTTGAGTATTTGTAAAAATTCAGATGGAAAAGTAATTTAGTATTGAGAATACGCTAAATATAATTAGTAATTGCCTATTTGATACCACTATACTATTATACTACATTAGAAAGTAAATAAGTAAAGTAAAATGATCTAAGTGAACGGATTATTTCACCTATTTACTATATACACCTATTTTACTATTGTTGTTTTACCTACATGGTCTTTAATAAAGCTAAGTTATTTTATGTAAGTAGATACAAGAAAATAAAAAACTAAAAGTTAACGACAAAATTGTATAAAACTAATCAAATTATGTGTTTATTTTCTAAATAAATAAAATACTATATAAACATTTCTACATTTTAATATTTCAGGCGAAAAGGCCCATGTTGCTCTAGAGACAGTGCTAAATTCTTTTATTGCCCAAAAATATGATGATGGTCATAATAATTCATCAAATATTGAAATACGTCATGACCAGACACAAGTATCAGCTCCAGGTAATTTTATATAATGATTATGAACACTGTAATGTAATATACACCTATACAAAACAACAGAAAGTTGCTCCATATTTTTAATTAAATTTCTATGAAGTATCTATTAGGAAAGTCAACTTAATTTATAAACTACTTGATTAGTTCTAAATAATAATTAGCATAATTAGATTTAATAAATGGAATTTATAGTACATTTGTTTTTTTTGTATACGTTTAAAAAATGTATTTCAGAAAATATTGTTCATAATAAATGGCATTCCAGGTTATCTGACGGAAAGTTTAGAGTTAATCTAAAAAAATGCATTTCAGGAATACCACAATATCAGTCAATATCTCAGTCTCAAGAACGCATGCCATCATCTGAAGGCGAGCTGCGATCGGAAACTAATACTCAGTATCCGTGTGAAACAGAATTTCGGCCACAATCTGTAACTTTACACAGATCTCTGTCAAATTCTCATATTCCAACACTATCTAGAAATGTTTACTTTCCGTCCTCTAATTCTCCTAATCTGACACAGTATGAAGTAAAAAATGAGTCACGATCTAAATCTCAAGATCAACATGAATTTGGTACTAGAAGTATGCATTCATCTATGACAATAAATCAGCCAGAGTTCAAAAATGTAAATACGTCCCCGCCAAATTATCGTATTGAAAAAAGACTTGGAAGAAGAATTAGGTCGCGTTCTAGATCATATAATGAACCCCGATTTGGTTCTAGAAGTAGGTATTCATCTAAAAACAGACAACGATCACAGTCTAGAAGTAGAAGAAAGTCTAAACCAAAACATGACCGTTCACCTAAAAGGTCATTTAAGTCTTCGAAAAATTATAAAAAAGAAAAAGGAAAAAGACATCCACCTCCAAATAAAAAGAAAGGGAAAACAATTAAATCTACACAGGTAAATGTGTATTAATAATACATCAATATATTCATAGTTTTAATTACAATGTGTTTATTAAGTTTTTTTTTTAAATTTATTTATAAACTTTGATTGTGGCCATTTAAATAACAGCCTACATCTTCATCAGACACGTCTTCACAGCTTGAAGAGGTAAATCTATACATATTATTATTATTTAAGTAGGTACCTAATTTTAAATATAAATGGTGGTTGAATATATTAGTAGAGTTTAATATAATTTAATAATTTACTTTTTTCTGTTTCGGATTAAATTCGATATTACTTCTCTAAGAGTTATTGGATAAAACTAGCGATTCACGACTTTGTATGTATCAAATGAATATACTGAAATGTATGTCCCTAAACTATCTTAAGTACATTTTGTATTGATGTATAAATGAATTGCTATAAAAAAATCGAATAACTAGGTACTCATTATTTTTTTTAATGCAGTAATATTTCAATAAATATTGAAGTTAAGAATATAATATATGGGTGCACTATAATGATAAATTATTACATGCATTAAATGTATATATTGTAATAACCAAGTTTTATAGGAAGATATCATAATCATAGCAAAGCATTAAATTACGGTAGTTATATACTTATATCATAAAACAATTAATACAAAATCGAAATAAATTCGCATACCTACATGTTACTATACAACCACTACCTATTTTACCTCCATCTTTGTTGTTAGCAGCCCATAGGTACAAAAATATGTAACTTCAAGTAATTTTGAAATATGATTCAAAATATTGAATATTTATTTCAAAAATCTAAAACTGTATAATTATTTCTTATATTATGCAAAGTTTACTTGCTACGCAAACGACCTAGGTATTACAGGTGGCAGTTTAACCACAAGGGTTTTCTCGGGACTTAAACAATTTTTTGGAGTCTAAGCTGGATTAGTTTCCTTATCCCTAATCTCTATAGTTTTCATAGTTACCACTAAAAAGTTTATATAATATGAGAGGGAACAATGAGCTAATTCACTGTTTTGGTAGATAATTATCACTAATAATCATTAATTATTAATGAACCACCATTTTATTTTAAGATTCTAAGTAAATTTAAATATTAAATATTTGTTTTAAAAACTTTATTTTATAATATGTTCATTGTTTACCTTAATTAGATTAATTAGTGTATTATATACCTATAAATTATAATTTGTTTTATAATATTGATATGTTCGAAATAGCCACCTTATTTTGTATTACCGTCGTCCGAAGCCCTAAAGCCTTTTAAACGTTACCCCACCCGCTCCCAGAGTTGCTTACTGGTCGTCGTGCCACGATGCTCGGCTTACAATAACATTTGGTTCGTTCTAGTTGACCGTAGGTACTGGCTGTATGTCCGGAAGTCATGAGTGTTTCTTTTCCATAGCAATGTCATATTTCTCTCAACGGTATTACGGATGGTCTTCACTTTTTATTAAAATCTAAATCCCCAAGTCCAGACGGAATATCCGGTATATTTTTAGCAAAGTGTGATAATTGTATAACTTATCATGCCTACTCGTTGTACTGTAAATCTTAGTTAAGGCGTTTTCCCCTCTATTTGGTAAATAAGCTTTAAGTTACTCAAATATTTAAAAAAGGTGACAAAAATAATATTAAAAACTACTGACCTATTTCTAACCTGATGCAACTTGGTACATTTTTGAAAACTAGTCTTAATTGATATCATTTCGTCACTAAACAATGTTTTTGATCAAAGACAACACAGCTTCAGATCAAGAAAATCAACATTAAGATACAATTTATAAATTACATACATGATGCCTTTAAATATAACTGTTAAATATGTTTATTTAGTATTTACTCAGACTTCAAAAAAGCTTTTTATTGCGTTTATCACACCTTTTAAATTGTGCAGTAATTCGTCTAGGCATTGGTGATCTTCTACTCTTATCTAACTGATTGTCAACAATTCACCAATATCCAATGATTTAGGTCAAACACTTATACCCTTTCCTCCAGCATTCCTCGAGATGGTCATAAATTATTATTTTAAATATTACTATTTTAATTTTATATATTATATACATATTTTTGCTTTTATATTGCATATAAATTCCAGTCATAGTTATAACGTTAGATATGCAGTAATTATCGCGTTTCGTGCAAGTTCTGTACAAAAAAAATTAAATATTTTTAATTAAAGTATACGAGTAAAATTTAAAACAGTACTAATTTAAAGTAAATAAATATTTTAAATTTCTAAAAATTACATATGAGGCGGTGCTTCACTATCTTGACATAATAATTAGAATCTTAGTTGGGTACTGGGTAGGTACCGTATTCCAGTAAACGAGTAGGTAAAGATTGAACGTTGAATATATTGAAAATGACTAATTAGTAATTTGTATAGAAGGCCTATGGTGTGTGAATTAAGATCATAAGCACTACCTACAGTTAATAAAAGCCTTTTCGTTCATAATGTAAAAATCGATATAACAATCCATGGTACGACAAAATATGGGAGGACTTTAATTAAAAGCACCCACCAACTCAGATTTCAGTGGCAATTCGTATGCACCTAAAACCCCAACTGTATTTACATTTGTTTGATTTAGTTTTATATATTTATTTATATTACTTTGGTCTTGATTTAGAGATTGCACGATTGTACTTTAGATTGATGTAGAAACTAGCTGTAGATACTTAATATGTATAGAAGATTCAGTCATGCATATTAAGTACTAACAGATTAAAACGAGTTAAAAACGTACATTTAAATTTTATATGAATTTATTTAGTTTAATTTTTAATTATAGAAAAAAAAACATTAAATTGAAAAAGATGGATATTGGTTATTATTTTATTTACCAATTGGTATATATTATAATAAATAAATTAGATATATGTTTAGTTAGCTTTCTTGAACAAATATTAGGGGCACTGAAAGTTACATACTTACAAAGTTAAATATTATTTACCTACCTAATCACTTGTACTGTTATCATATAATAAATGACAATATTTGAATTTATGAAAAGTAAAAATAAATTGATTAATATTGAGCTGAAGATGATACAATTATTTAATAAACATAGCTGTATAACTCATTTGCCAGAAATGTATAAATCAACTATATCCTATGTTTAGTGAAATTTTTTTAATTATAAACATATAAAATACATGACAGAAGAAGCTGTCTAGTATCTTGTTTATTGTTAAATATCAAATAAAATAGTTGTATAGGTTCTTTTTTTAATTACATTTATTTTTATATCATAGCAACCGCCGATCCTGGTGGTTGATTCTGGACCTCCAGTTGTACCTCAAGTACAAGGATCATTTTACTCACAAAATGTCACACCGATGTACTACGCTCAACCAACACATATGCGGCCGCGGTTAATGCCAGTCCCATATTATATGCCACCGCGATCTCGTTTACCATATCCGCCAACATGTAAGTCATTTAATGTTATTTAAAGCATAATAATTAATAATCATAATATTAAGAAATATGGAATATCTTAACTGTGCATACTTTATATTGATAGAATAACATGATTTATCAATTATCACTAGTGCTTGGATGTACATTCCTTAAAAACTATAAACAAATGCCTTTCAAGGCCGAAATACCCTTAAAAAATGACCTACGTTTTTTTAATTGGTTCGTTAGCAGAGGAAAACGACATTTTAACTTTCAGAATTTTTAACACTTCTAATTAGGTATACTGACTAAACTAACAATAATACAAATAAAAAAAAAACCCAAATAGACACTCACAATATATAAACGGTTTACTTGAAATAAATGCGATCGAGAAATAATTCCAGCTACTGGTAACTGACCGCTGACCAGTGACCAGTTTGTTATTCATTGGATATGGTACGTAGGTATGTAAGATTATATGAGTCTCTTTGTAACAAAACTGTGGTAAAACTAATTGACATCTAAATTCTAGATTGTACGGAGAAATGAAAATCAGTAGAAATGTGGTTATTTATCACAGTGTTCGTATATCTATTCATATATTATTTGTTATTTCTCGACCCCGTAAGTACCTAAATAGGCTACATATGTGCAGCCAGCTTTTTTGAAAATAACTTGTTATATTTCACAATAGTTTAAAACTGCCCAAAACATGCATGCAATAGTGTTCATAATAATCATATAATATAATATTCAAATTAGTTACCCCGTACATAAATTGTTTGTATTATGTTTATATACCTACCTACTTATTTTTAAGTTTTTTATTTTCAAAATTGTTATATGTTAGGTTTAGTTGTATGCATTTTTCAAAAATAATTAAAAATTTAGCTGCATATATTTAAGCATATTTTGACAATTTTGACTGCATGATATATGCATGCATAATTTTTTAGTGCAACAAGTCCCAAACCCTATGTATTAAGTATTATTATTAACTAACAAATAATAATAATATGACTCAATGAAAAAAGTATGGGAACCAATAAGTTATACTAACAATAAATCACAATAAGCCAACATTATAGCTTACTTTATAATTATCTACCTACTCATTTTCAATAATGATGTCATCAATTTCACCTTTTTTCATCTCTTACCCATATGAATTTAAAATTTTATATAATCGACTATCTATGAAATTCTTTACATTTATTACTTTTCTTGATCAATAATTGTCTACTGTAAATTAAATAAATATTGCCTATTTACCTACTTCAAAAACGAAATTTGTGTTTAAATCCAGATTTAACAACCTTTCAGGAAACATATAGGCATATGTATATGACACAACAAACATCTATGTAGCTAAAAGCTTCAAGTAGAAGTGTTTACTTATAAAGATTTAAAAAATTAAAAATACTGTTAATTATAGCATTTTGTTAATTTTACAGATCCAAGATTATTATATAGACCACAGTGGCAGCCTCCAGTTCGTCATTTTGGTACACAATGAAGAAGCCTAAAGAAATATATTAGCCCTTAATTACATGATTTTTTTAATTTTGATCAAATTCATTTTTTTCTATAACCTCTGAGAATAAGGAAAAAATACTTAAAAATATCATACTTCTTTTTTCTACTTCAAAAGTTCAAACTTAAGTCTGGACAGTGGCGTCCGCAGGGGGGGCTAAAGGGCTAAAGCCCCCGCCCCATTGCCTGTATTATTGTTACTTTTTCAAAAAAATATTAACCAAGTTAAACTGTCAACTATAGTAAGCAAGAAGTAAATTTCATATATGTCTTACCAGAATTTTTTTTTTTTTATTATTTGTTCATTGAAACGACCTCTAGGTCTTCGTCAATGCTTATCACAAGTGGGTAGTAGGGAGATCATGTGATCTATTTATTTATGGATATATCACTCTATATGCATGATACTACCCCCCTTCTCCTGCAAGAGGAGGCATGTGCGGTCTTCACTCCCAGTGGAGTGGGACCTAGTTGGAAACCAGATGACGCAATCGGACGACAGCAGGGGAAAATGGTGATCGCGTAGAACCACACAAATTTATTTTGCACTGAGCTATGAATCGAACCGATGACTGTGTGAGTCGTAGTCAACTGCGTGACCACTGCGCCACTCTGGCCCCAATGTCTTACCAGAATGAATTCATTTTTGAAAGAACATTGTATTTGCATACTAATTTTCATAAATTATCTGTAATTTTTAGGTAAAAGTATGAACTACTTGTATGAAAGACCTTGTATTAAATTGTCTAGCCTTAGCTATATAACAGGGGTGGCCAAATAGCGGCTCGCGTCATAGACTTTTGCGACTCGCATCTTATCGTAACATTTAAAAAAAAAAATTTTTTAATATGAATTTATGTATTTGAAAAAGTATAATATTTTATTAAATTAAATTATTAAATTACAGTTAAATTTTTCTTAATTGACTATTTTCTTATTTGTTGCGTGTTTATTTTGCTTGTAAGCTTTTTAAAATCAGGACTATATGTTGTTAACGCAGTCATTATCCATGTGTGTCTGTATGATATTTTGATATTTATGGTATTTATGAAGATAAAATTTAATTTGAGATTATTGTACAATTATTGTTATCTTATTCTTCACATTTTATTAAATACCATACCTTAACTTATCTTATTTACAATAATAATAATACAATATCTGATATATAAATATATATATAAAAATTATATAATAATATGACCTTTTTTTTTTTTTTACATTTTGGCTCTTCCATATTTATTAATATATTTGGTGGCTTGTAAGTCATTTCTCGCTGGCCACCCCTGCTATATAATATATTTTATATTTTATAAGTTTTGAACTACAAATTAACTGTCATTTTGACAAAATTTGAACTTTAAATGTTTATAAGAAATAACCATGGTGCCTATGTAGTGTTTGAAGTATGAAATATTCCACAAAAACCTGACACTTTGAAATTATTTTACACAAATAAAAACACAATTTATTTATTTTTTTAACACAATGTTCAGTGTTCTAAATTCTAATGACAGAATTCAGTATTTATACAATAAACATGTATAATATTGTATACCTACTTGTATCATTTAAACATTAAAATATTTAAAAATTTTGAATACCATTTTAAATGTATAATACCAAAGGTTAGGTATACATACAGGTACTATATAGTTATGAAGGTAATTTATGACAATTATATGTAAATATAAAACTTATTTAAAAATAAAACAAAATATATCAAAATACTGAAATATTTCATTTTTTTTAAATTTCATGAAATTTTCAAACACTATGCCTATGTATCGTTAATATTTTAGCTATAATAAAATAACTTACATATTACATTTTTAAGGTTTTTGACCGGATAAATATAATTATGTTATAATAATTAAATATAATTTTTTATTAACATTTATATAGAAAAAAAATTTAATTATTCAAATACAATCCAAGTGAAGACGGTATAACCAAACATTTAAATAAATTTTCATTTTTTTTCTCCAATTATTTTTAAAAGCACTGAGAATTTTCAATTTCGACCCCCTAAAAGTACCAACTAGATCCAATTTGCTTCCAAAAACATACACTGTGCATCGAAGCTTATGATCAAAGCATTTTTTCTACCAGAAAGTTGAAAAGTTACAAAAATTTTAAAATACCTCAAATTAACGTCTGAAATTATTAGACTGGACAAAATAAAAATGTAACTAATTTTCAAGCCCCCCCCCCCCCCCCCCATTGAAAAATCCTGCGGACGCCACTGAGTCTGGATGCATGATTGCAACCAGGGTTGGGCAAGATACTCAAAAAAAGTATTATGATACATGATACATACATTTAGTGTATCAAGATACAAGATACATTGTGAATGTAGAAAAGATACAAGATACAAGATACATGTATCAAAGATACATGATACTTTTATATTTCCAGTCAAATTTTATTAATTATTAAACGTAAAACGTCTATACACAACTCACTATACCGTCTATTATACATAATAAATACATAATATTATGATTATACCTACATAATAATAGTATTTATAAATACTTATAAAGTCATAATTTTATCAAATAATATAATAAGTCAATAGGTACACATTATACATTTATAACTAATACATCACATTTATAATATAAATACACCAAAATTAAGAAAGTACATAACAATTACATCTTAATTTATACTTATATATAGTTGCTTTATGTGTATACCTACACGGTTACACTCATATCTAGGCAGCGGATTCATATTTTAAGAGACTATTGACTATTGAATGCGTGTGGCTACGGGCGCCTTAATTTAATTTTATGTTTATCATATTATCTTAAATTTATAAGATTGTGTGGTACATTTTTTCGTTATCTTTAATATTTCGGCTGGATTGCACCTGGACAATATTTTTCGTACAAATACAATGCGCGACGAAATTATTTTTACAATAATAGTATCTTGTATCTTTTGGCAAAAAAGAAATTATACATGATACTTGATTCATTAAAATTATGTATCAAGATACAAGATACAATTGTATCTTTGATACTGCCCAACCCTGATTGCAACTATATGCGCCTGGCGTACACTTATGTACACAGTTTCAAACTAGAGTAGACAATTAAGCATATAACCAAAGTGTATGTTTAAATTATTCAATAAATGTATTGTCTTAAATTTATCTACAATCTACACTAATTTTATTTATAAAATAAAAAAAAAAAACAATATGAAAGTTAAATTTTTTTTATTTAGAAATATAACAATAACATAAACTCAAAAGTTTTATACTATATAAAAAACTTGAAAATAAAAAATTATAGATTTCCATCTCATAGTTTATTTATATAACAATAAAATAAACTCTAAAGTATTATACTATATCAAAAACTTGAACATAAAATAATATAGATTTCCTTCTCATAGTTTATTTACATATACCTACTTAGTGTAATGAGTATTATGTGTACTAAAAAATGTCACTAATTCATTGTCTTTTCACATAGTGGCTCCTATTTTTTGTTTTTGAATAACTGCTGTGCATTCGGCACATGTATTGATTTTAGAATGATATGTGTTTTTTATATTTTCTTTAACAGTTATAAGCATTAAGTTCAAATTTTTACAACATTTTATATTTAGTTTAGGTTTTTTATAATATGATTAACATTTTAAATTTAAATGTATAATATTTCATGTTTATTTTAATGGGGTAGGTCGGATTTTTACCACCATATGTGGATAATAATGTCACTAATTCATTGTCTTTCCACATAGTGGCTCCTATTTTTTGTTTTTGAATAACTACTGTGCATTCGGCACATGTATTGATTTTAGAATGATATGTGTTTTTTTATATTTTATTTAACAGTAATAAGCATTAAGTACAAATTTCTACAACATTTTATATTTAGTTTAGGTTTTTTATAATATGATTAACATTTTAAATTTAAATGTATAATATTTCATGTTTATTTTAATGGGGTAGGTTGGATTTTTACCACCTTATGTGGATAATAATGTCACTAATTCATTGTCTTTCCACATAGTGGCTCCTATTTTTTGTTTTTGAATAACTGCTGTGCATTCGGCGCATGTATTGATTTTAGAATGATATGTGTTTTTTTATATTTTCTTTAACAGTTATAAGCATTAAGTTCAAATTTTTACAAAATTTTATATTTAGTTTAGGTTTTTTATAATATGATCAACATTTTAAATTTAAATGTTTAATATTTCATGTTTGTTTTAATGGGGTAGGTCGGATTTTTACCACCATATGTGTATAATAATGTCACTAATTCATTGTCTTTCCACATATTGGCTCTTATTTTTTGTTTTTGAATAACTGCTATGCATTCGGCACATGTAATGATTTTAGAATGATATGTGTTTTTTTATATTTTATTTAACAATTATAAGCATTAAGTACAAATTTTTACAACATTTTATACTTAGTTTAGGTTTTTTATAATATGATTAACATTTTAAATTTAAATGTTTAATATTTCATGTTTATTTTAATGGGTTTTTAGGAAAAATATAAATATAAAAATCCGTGCTTTTGTACCTAATTATAAAACTTTTTTTTGGAATTTAATTTGTAGTTTTTGTGTAGAACCATAGGCGTGTCCAGATATCATCCGCATGTCGTGTACAACAGTGGCATATTCAGGGGAGAAAACTGCATCCCCCCCCCCCCCAAAAAAAATTAGATTAAGATTTGGGAATATGACCCCCAAATTTTGAAATAAGCTTTATCATCTGTTAATAATTAAATAAGTTTTACTTTTTTTATTAGGAATAAAAAACGATATTTCTTTTATCAGATAAATAAATAACTAGTTAGGTTATATTATGAAATTGTACTTAGTATTTAATTTTAAAATATAATTATTTTAATACTAATAATACTTTTTACAAACGTTTATTTTTATGTGATGAAAATCAAAAAACTTAACACGAAATCAGACACTTAGAAAAAAAAATTTATATTATGCA